CTTCAAATCCATATCATAATGAATCATGCATATGAACATTTAGAGAGAAGTACAGAAATGGATCTGTGGGGTGCATCCAAAAACGGGTTTCTATTGCATATTTATTATGATGGATTTGGTAATTTCCCACCACCGCCAGAAGTGATATTTATCTCCGAGAATGTAAACATTTATTATAATTATACATCATTTCAAGACGTTTAAAATGATAATTTGTGGGGGGGGGGGGGGGGGGGGGGGGGGGGGGGGGGGGGGGGGCATTTATGCTTTGGTTTCTATTTAAAAGATTAATACGATTATTTATTTATTTAGTTCACCTCGGAATAGTCTAAGAAGATGTTACTCACTATTTCTGGATGGGGTGCTCATGTTAAAAGTGTATTTCCATCTCCAAATTTACTCGGTGATGAAAGTATTATGAATTGCTCTCTTAAGTTGTTTACATCTAATATTATACCTAATGTTGATAATTAGTAAAAATGTATTTATTATGTACTAATCATTTCTATAAAAATTACCGATTGGCTATTATGAAGTTAATGAATCTCGATTATGTATTAGACGAAATGACAGAATAATTTACGTGCGCAAATTGTCTACCGAACGACGCGATGAAGCCATCAAAAAAGGTTAAAGTTTATCTAATGGACATGCTGAAAGTATAATTGAAGATGATAAGATAATTTGGAATGTATAAATAAACCACTACATATGTAATTAATAAAAAGACTCAAAGTAGTAACATTTAATTGTATGTTTGATGTCGATTTTACAAAAGAAAGAAATATAGGATACTACTAGCGTTTTAAACCTAAGCTTTTATAAAGCAAATTTGAAACATGTATCAGATAATCCAGTGTCCAATAACCCATATTATCTCATTACCGAGTGGAATGTGATATTCAAGTGTTCGTTTCATAATGGTATACTTCTCATACTTTATTTGTTTTTTATCCTGATGTTGGTAGAGGTTTTAAAATTAATACAAAAAAGAAATACACCAAATATATTTACCCATTTACCACATTATTTCAACCGATGTTAATATCACTCTGACTGATCAAAATGGTGAAATAATTTGATGTTACATTGACGAGTTATCTATGGCGTTCTACATATTCGCAAAAAAGTCTTTCTTAACAAAACATGGGTTATATATTTTCACATTCCAACTCGAAAAAAGGAGGAGTAGCTGCAATCTGTAAACTCAAACAATGCTGTGTGGAGGAAAACGAATAAAGTGTTTAAACAGCCAAAAGAATATTGCATTTCTTAGAAAGTTTAGATTGGGAGTTATTGATTAAATATGGAGTACTACTAAGAAAATTCATTATTCACTTCTTCATTCGTTAACGGTGCTACATCATCATTACATCATCATTCAACATCAGGATAGCAAGCATTTTACGAGTTGGAAGGAGAACATCTTACGTTGAAATGGAATTGAAAAACTATCAATATTTCCAAATCGATCCTGTTTTGGAACTAATGATGGATTGGTAATTCGTGTGGAAAATGAAGTGGTCATGTAATGGGAAATATGTTCATGTATCTGCAGTATGTTCATATATTAGGTTCGATAACAAAGAGAGATGGGGTGTGGTTGATACTAGCCACACAGCCTAGATAATGGGTTTACATTTAATTTTGGTTTTCCTGAAGCAAGCTTAAAATTTAAATAGTAAAAGTTATATCATGTGATATAATCTGGAATTATATGTCCAGTAAAAGCAACGCATTGGGAACGCCTGGAAATGAACCAGAGAGACGAGTATTGGTCTCGTAGATGCAACATTTACATTCTCCAAAGTTTCACATAGCTATTCCTTTACGTTATTTTTCGTATTATGTGATGACTATAATCAAATATAATTGTTAATTCACTAGAATTTGCATTGTGAGAAGGACTTCAGATGATAGATGTATTTACTTCTTCAGCTCCTGGAGAGGATGCTATTATGCAAAAATAAACATATCAAAAAGTATTATCAAACTTCCATTCGTTCAACCATCGAACAAAGAATAAGCTAAACTTCTAGTATCACTAATTCAAAACAAGGTTATTCGAATTAGCATTTCGACAGTGGAATGTGACAGAGTTCTCTGCTATTTCAAGCACAATTGCGTCATGCTCTTCAAGTTTGCACATCACTCTTAGAGACTCCAGGTATTTTGTAATTTTGCAGATAATAGAAACAATATGAGAAAAAGAAGGCATTATATTCGGTCATGGAAAGTGTAAAATATCGTAGAGCTTTTATTTAAATTCACAACCCTCAATCCCTCTATATCCTCATCTCAGGCAATTTCAGATGATTATACAGAGCCTATTAAGTTTCATTAATTTTCGTGCAGATACTTCTGTTAAACGGGTGTAGATGCATATCCTTTCAATTGTGGCATAAAACGATTTAATCATCATGTATTTTACATAATTGGATACCCACATCAAGCCTGTACCAATACAAGTGGTACTATCACCGTACGCACTGAATTTGAAACAAGTGTGAGAATACCTGATTCAACTACTGGATGTAATATTAGTACAAGATACGTTCGATCTATAAAGCTCTTACTGGTGAAGTGTTTAATGTAAGTAAAAAGAAATGATTAGTCATCATTGTAATAAATATAAATTTTTAATATTGTTATGATCATATTATATAAATAAATATTTTGGGTGAATTTGTTTGTTTCATTTAACCATACTACAAAAATCCTTATATATTTATAACGTTATACATTATAATTTAGTACTAGAAGAAGGTGAAGCGAAATGGTCGCTTCCGTGAATTCTATACTAAAATGATAACAAAGATTGTGAGAAAAAACACTCGAACTTCTACCGAATTCAATTCGATCTATTATATGTGTCCATCTGCGTGTGGTAAAACTAATTTAATGATTAATTTACTTTGTGCAGAAAATGGATTACGTTTCAGGAATGTGGATGTATACTCTAAATCACTCTTTTCAACCAAAATATGAATTATTAAGAATATTTTCAAATCTTTAAAAAGATGGAATGCAACTCTTTGAATATCGTGATAATGATGAAGTTGTATCACCAAATGATATTTTACCACATTCTATTATGATTTTCGATGATGTAGACTGGATAAACAACAGCATATGGAAAAATACTAAGTATGGGCGACATCATTTAATCGATATTTTTTATCTCTGTCAGCACTATAGTCAAATTCCCACATCTATTAGTTTTAAGTATATGCGAATTTCATTGTATTATTTAAACAGGATAAAACAAATTTATTAACCACTCCTCATGCGTTGGATAGAATGTGTATGATGATCATGTAAATGTAGATATGAAGTTTAATGACTTTAGACAGATGTGTAAAGATTGTTGGGATTCTAAAAATCATAATTTCATTGTTATCGATAAAGATAGTGCTATCGATAATGGACGATATCGAGAGGGATTTGATGTATATTTAATACCAGAGAAGGAATGAAATTTCATTATTCGAGCACGATGTACGCAATCGAGAACATTACACTCGCTGTAAGCGAGAGACCAACCCGCGATTATGATGTTGCCACTAAAGGTTATGTTGATAACCTAATCTCATCTACTTCAGTAGATTTAGAGCGAGATGGAGATGGAAATATTATTATAAGCGGGAAACGCATTCGCGATGTTCAAGATCCAATTGACGAACAAGATGTTTGCACTAAAAAGTTTGCAATGTCTCTAATTAAAGGAGATATGAAAATGGAAAGCGCTGTTCTCGATAAAATTAACAATTCATGGGATAAAATACGTTGTCTTCTTCCGGTGGGTGGAACAACAGTGCAAATGCAAGGACGACGAGTTGCCAATATTGCAGAACCAATGGAAGACAACGATGCAGCATCAAAGTTATATGTTGATTCAAAGTTCAAAGAAGGAAGTGAAATTGTAGTGAAATCATCAACTGATGTACTTGGTGATGAAATTGATAGTGAGTTAAATGTTAATGGTAAGATAGTGAAAAATATTGGATCACCTAGAGATGATATGGATGCAGTTACTAAAAAATATGTTGATGAACGAATTAAATTAGATTCTCAAAATATGGTGTTAGATGTATACAATAGACGTATTACAAATGTACAAGAACCATCCACACCTTCAGATGTTGCAACAAAAACATATGTTGATTCACAAGTAAGTAAATTTTCTACATCTGAGGGTGATGTTGACTTGAGGGATAAAAGAATAAAAAATGTGAAGCTTCCTCTTGATGATAATGATGCTGCAAATAAGCAATATGTAGATACTGTATTTAGTAACTTTCCATATGTTGATGATAATTATGTTAATTTTAATAATAAACGTATAACTAATGTATCTCAACCTCAACATCCGTTAGATGGAGTTAATGTAGAATATGTTAATGAAAAAATGGATAATGCAATAACATTAATTGATGGTGTGATGAATGCAAAAGAACATAGAATTAGCGGTGTATCAAACGCAATAAACCCATCTGATGTAGTAAATAAACAAATGTTTGATGAATTATCTTCATTAGTTCAAAATCAATTTAATGAAACGTTAACTATTCATGATGGTGTTGCTGACATAAAATATAATCGCTTAAGTAACTTGGGAGCTCCAATTAATTCATTGGATGCTGTAAATAAAGCTTCGCTAGATAGAGTTTTTGATTTCGTTCGAGATAATGAAAATGAAATTAGAAAATTAAATGTTGGTGTTGCGGAATTGAATGAAGTTGAGAAAAAGCATGCGATAAAATTATCAGAATTACGAGATTATGTTAATAGTGTAAATGCTCTTGATGATAGGAGAATTAATGATCTTTTAGTTAAAGTAGATTCATGTGTAAAAAGCGAACCACACGAAAATGACATTAAAAAAATTGAGAAAGAGATAAATTCTATTCGAGAAAATAATGATACACAATTTATTAAGCGTAACGAGTACTCTTCTACAATTAATGAAATTAAAAATGATATTATACTGAATTCTACTTTAAGTCAATCGAATGAAGAATACATTAAGTTATTAAAAGATGATATGATGGGAATTATTAATCTCCCCTCACAATTGGAAGAGTATGTAAAGCTTAATGAATATTCTTTTACAATCAATGAAATTAAAAATAATGTTAGCAATCTTCCTTCACAATTAAACGAATATGTAAAGCTTGATGAATATTCTTCTACAATCGCTGAAATTAAAGGTAATATAGAACAATCATCTTCCCTAACTTCAACTATCCGTGATGATAATGTAAGCATTAAACAACAACTGTCTACAGCTTTAATCAATCGAGATGAAATTACACATGTGAGTGGGAAAGTAGATGAAATAGAGCGTAAAATTAATAGAAATTTAGAGCATATTGATGGTAAAGTAATAACATTACATATGGAATCTACTCAACAAATTAATATGATGCAAAATGATATGAGAAATCGATATAATGAGCTTAGAGATATTATGCGGATGAGATATACATTTCGTATCGATAGTGTGAATAGTGTTGAAAATTCTCCGATTTACCTGCTTACTAACGGTAATGTTGCATATAAATTTCCTTATACTGGTGAAATTATTTTACGGTCAATCTATTCCACTTCAGATATTGAATATTGTTACAGTAATAATGCATATAAAATATTAGATAAGAATCCCATTCAAGTAAGAAAAGATGAATCGATTGTATTTAAGTTGGGATCTAATAAAGTAATGGAAGGTAGAAATACTAGTGATTTTCCTCTTCATTTAGAATTTGAATATATAATCTCACCCGATTATTTATAATTATTCAGTTACCATGTCTTCGTTACAAGAGCAATATGCAAACAGAATTACAGAGGAAGAGGAAATATCGAATTTAATAGGAACAATTAGAAAGAAGTTTTTATCGTTAAAAGCTATGGAAAGAGGCATGCAAGATCGTTTGGAAAAATCTTTTGCACCAGTAAGTAATCCATTAAAAAATGTTGAAGAGCTGTTAAAAAAACAAGCTGCATCTACTGTTTCCAAATCAACTACTACACCTGTTTCTTCTACCGCTTATGTAGCAGCTGGTAATGATAATGATCCTGAGATGGGGTTTATGTCATCTCTAGATTTAGGAGATTCATTACGAAGTTATATTTATAATTTAATTGCTCAAACGAATATCTATAAATTTCACTACGATAAAACATTTGGTATACGATTCGACAAAGATAATTTTAAATTTCTTATAGGTAAAAAGGAGGTGAATTTTAAAGGTAACGATATTATTATTGGTAATAAGACATACAAAGGGAGTGATGGTTTATATGAATTACTTTTTAAATTAGCTCCAAATAAAAATAATATTAAAAAAAAAGATTTTACTACATATCATCAAATATTAAAAAATACTAGCGCTCATCGCGTAGACTTCAATCCTTTCAAACCAATAAATAGAATACGAACTCTTAAATTTAGAACAATCATTGAACCTCTCTTCAATCATCCATCATCATCTCGAGAATCAGCTTTAAATACTAGCGTTGAAGAAGAAGATAGTGTTACTGGTGCTGGTATTTCTGTAGGAAAACATTGTGTGCGTAAACGAAATCTAGAAGAAGATATAATTTGGAAACATGTTGAAAAGAAACCGAAACGGGTTGAATATGTTCACTGGAATGATGTAAATGAATTGGTAGACCGTTTGCGTTTAATCATAGCTAGCAAACATGCTGGAAATAATGGGCATAACAATGAAATTATTTCTATAATTGAAGAATTAACAGAAGAAGGTTACATTGAAGATGCGA